CTCTCTCTCTCTCTCTCTCTCTCTCTCTCTCTCTCTCTCTCTCTCTCTCTCTCTCTCTCTCATTTGGAATCCCCTTCGCTAATCTCGTCGTCCGGCGGACTCTGCACCGCCGCCATCTAAGTCGGGGTCATCCTCCGAGACTTGCACTTTGCGGGGCCTTCCACGACCACGTTTCGACTTTGGTGCAGCTTTGTGCCCCGTCTTCTCCTTGGGGGGCCTCCCGCTGTGGCGACGTGGTGTGGGGACTTCATTCACCGGAGCCTTCCTCTTTCGCCCATCCGTGCTTTTCCAGATGTTGTCGTGTTGGGCATCCTCATTCTGTGCTGGGTACGGGGGTCTGTCGTAGTGGGCCGCTGCTCCTCTCGCCGTTGATCTGAGTTTTTCTAGTTGCTCCGCAGCCACAGCCTGCTGGTGCTCCCGCGGCTCTTGCGGTGCAGGCTGCTGCAGTGGCGGTGGGCGGGGTCTTCGTGCGTAAAGCATTGGTGGTGCTGGTTGCTGCAGTTCCTCTCCGTCTTGCTGCTGAGTTTTTTCCGCATCCTCCTTCATATCACCCCCATCTTGCGGCACACTTTTTTCTCCTTCTTGCTGCACATTTTTTTTTGCGAGTGCTTCAATATCCACTCCCACATGCTGCAAACTCCCTTCATGTTCTGCACGCACGACAACCTTATCTACCTCCATGTTGTCCACCCTTTCATCCTCATCACTATGTTGCTCCTCATGTTGGCTGACCTGTTTACTCTGTCTCTCTCTCTCCCTCTGGGTGGGGACAGCAGCATGGCGAGCCTCCTCCTCACACATCCGCCTCTGAACTAAAGCGGCATCCCTATCTGCCATAGCCTTGGCCCGAGCAGCTTCCTCCTCGTCAGCATCAGGCGTAGGGTGTCGGTGTCCAGTCTGTCGATGGCCTCAGAAGGCAGCACCTATGCCTCCTTCTCTCGCCTCCTAAGCCTCCAATTGACGTACGTAGTGGCTGGCACCGCCGGCTTGCCACCCAACTCGAAATCTGAGTCCTCCCCAATGTCATCCTCACCGCCACTCTCCTCGGAAGACGACTCGATTCCAACACTTCCCTTTCCACACGAGATCCTGAAAATCGTTGCTCCCTCTTGAGTCGTCATCCAGCAAGCTCTTCGGAATCTGGTCTTTCGGAGTCTTCTTCAATCTCTTTTGCCTCTTTTCCTCCTCGATATTGTCCGCTGCGTCATCCTCTGTGGCGTCCTCGACAGCTACATCTTCCGTTGTCGGCTCCATCAATGGCTCGAAGAAGGATCCCCACACATCGACGTAGCCATTGTCCTTGCTATTTGGAACACGCAGCAACTGCATGTTCCAGTGAATGTAAACCAACTTCTCCAAGGACTCTGGCGAGAGACTGTTTCTGCGCTGCGAATGGACAAAGTCCATCGATGCCCAGTTCCGCTCCGCGGGTGTCGTCGTGCTCCACATTCCCAACACGTTGATGGCGATCTGCTACAAATGTGGAACAAGTCCGCAGGCGTACGTCACGTTGCTTGCTTGATGGCAACTGGTGTCCACATGTGTTCATCTGTCCTGACTTCCCCTTCCACAAGCTCTCTCAAAAACTCGTACAGATGATCCTACATGTCTATGTGCGGCTTCGAATCCCACTCCGCTCCGATCTGCCTGCAGAAGAATCACATTGCGTTTTGCACGAGGGCGCTGTCCGGATCGTTGAGCCAGCCTGGGTCTCTCCTCCGTGGATCCAACAAAAACACAGTTGTATGAACGGGCTACCGCATCATCTGCACGCGGTCCTTGACCTTGTCCATCACATCCTCCCTCTCCTTCTTCGTGAGTACGACGTTTGCTAATTTCCTCGCAATGAGATCGCCGAACTCCACGAGGTTGGTGGGAGAAACTCCTTCCCTGTCCATCCTCTTCAGGAGGCTGTACACCGGCTCCATAATTGCCACAATTTTCCTCACTATGGCCCACCAACTCTCTGACCTCACAGTGTAGTAGACAAGGTCGGTTTTTTTCTGCAGCTTCTCTCCCGACCATCTCAATGCGTGGCACTTCGCTGCACAACCTCCGTCCACCATCTCATTCAACACTTCCTCCCTGTCCGTTAGCCTCTGCAGCATCTGGTACACCGACCCAAACCGGACCTCTGTCGGGCGCAGCAATGACAATGAGTCATCGATGAACATCATGAGACCGTGCGTGGCGTGATGGTTCCTGATGAACTTCACGATCGCGTTCGCCGTCTTCACTGTGTCCTTCACCCAAGGCAAACTGTTGAGGTCCTTCAACAACAGATTGCAGCAATGCGCTCCACATGGCACCCACGGTATCCTTGCAACGTCTTTGTCGGTCCGCCTCTCCAAGATCTGCGCCGCCTTCTTGTTGACCTCAATGTTGTCTGTGCAGATCGCGTTGATCCGTTTGAGCCCAATCTCACGCATCACTTGCTCCCACAACTTCGTCAATGCTGCTGCGTTTTTCTTCCTCCCTGTCATGTAAACTCTGGTCACCATAACTGCTCCTTTCTCCCCCGCTGCTAGGAAATTCATGACCGGCCGGTTCTTGCGATCTGTCGATCCGTCTGTGATGAATGTGCAGCCGGTTTTGTCCCAACAAGGAGTGAAGGGGTTGATTGACTTCTGGACCTTTAGGAAGATGTAGTCCAATATGACAGTCCGCATATGCTTGTAGGTAGGCAACTTCACCTTCGGCTTTGCATTGGCAATCTCCAAGTAAGCGTCGTGAAGAGCCTGCGTGGTGTCGAAGTTCAAGAAGTTGAAAGCAATTCCAGCCCTGAACATTGCTTCCGCCCACGCAATGTCCAACTTTTTTTGTGCGTCGTTGTCAATCCACTTTCTTATTATGGTCTGTGTCTTTGCCAGCACAACACGGGCCGCCCCTCCACCGGTGCCATCATCACCCTTCACTGCAACTTTATCATCTGTTGTTGCGATCGGTGCAGCAAATTGTGGAACAGACCGCCCTCGAACAGGCGGAGGCACCGGCCAAGACGATGGATCGTCCGCATCTGATGCATCCTCCGGAGCCTCATCGCCCCCCTCTGCGCCCCTGGCGAGTCCTCTAAAGTTTTGCAGCAAGTACCGGGTGTTCTTGTCTTTGGGGTTGACCTTGCCTCCCTGAGTAACAAGCTCATCCACAATCTCCCCCGTCCGAAAAGGACACGGTTTCTGCACTTTCAAGAAATGCTCCACTGCCTTTGTTGATGAACCCCTGAACACCTTGGAACAAAGGCGACACTTCAGCCAATACTCCCCACGTCCTGTTGGGACTGCCTCCTGTCCCTGTTCGACCCACTTCCAAACTGCATTCTTCTTCAACAACTTCTTATGCTCGTTCTCGTCCTTAGCTTGAAAGAGATCAGGATCAGTGGCAGGTGTTGCTTTCTTGTTGATGGTCGTCGTTGTTGACTACGCTGACTTGCTTGACGAAGGCTTCTCAGAAAGAGGCTGCACTTGCTCTTTCCCCTTGCCTGCATTGGTGCTGCCTAACCTGTGTCTCGTCCGCCCAGTCCCGCCACTGCCATCACCCGCCATGATGTCTCCCGCGGTGATGTGGGAAAATAAAAAACCGGCTATGGCTAATGGAGGAGGACGAGAAGAAGAGGAGGAGGAAGAAGAAGATGACGAAAAAGAGGGAGGAGAAGAGTAGGACGAGGAGGAAGAAGAAGAAAAAGAAGACGAAGTACGCAAGGAAGGTGAAGCAGCTTCGGGAAAAAAAATAAAAAACGGCTACGGCTAACGGAGGAGGAGGAGGAGGGAGAAGAAGAAGAAGATGACGAAGAAGAGGGGAGAGAAGAAGAGGAGGAGGAGGAGGAGGAGGAGGGAGGAGGGAGAAGAAAAGGAGGAGGAGGAGGAGGAGATGAAGAGGAGGAGGAGGAGGGAGAAGAAGAAGAAGATGACGAAGAAGAGGGAGGAGAAGAAGAAGAGGAGGAGGAGGAGGAAGAAGAAAATGATGAAGAAGAGGGGAGAAAGAAGAGGAGGAGGAGGAGGAGGAGGGAGAAAAAGAAGAAGAAGAAGAAGAATGCAAGGGTTGTTCAAGCAGCAACGAAAAAAAAAAAAAAAAAAAAAGGCTATGGCTAACAGACGAGGAGGAGATGAAGAGGAGGAGGAGGAGGAGGGAGAAGAAGAAGAAGATGACGAAGAAGAGGGAGCAAAAGAGGAGGAGGAGGAGGAGGAAGATTCTGAAGAAGAAAATGACGAAGAAGAGGGAAGAGAAGAGGAGGAGGAGGAGGAGGAGGAGG